CCCCCTTCTCCTCTTAAGTCTGAAACCAATTTTTCCACCTGCCTGCAAACCCCATGCCACTGTACATCTCTTAGGATACATCTTCTGCCTCACAGTAGCATTTTGTATGTCCTATTTACCTCACCAAACCCCGCTCTTTGATGGCAAGGGACAATTTTTAAATCCTTATGTAGAAACTGCTGCGGGCATTAACTGTGGAAAACTCATAAACGAACCTAGAATGAAAATAGCTTTTAACTGCTGTAATTTCTGTGTAGCTTTCTTCCCACTCTGATTAGCCCCATTATTAGCAAGCCACTGTTCCCTAGTTTCAAAAGGCTTTCTGATCAATTTATCAAACGCTTCCGATGTTAGGCACGGGGCGGGGAGCAAATTCAGATCAGAGAAGGGTTTCTGTTCTCCAGAGAAATTCAATCTGGTAATGACTCCCGAATCAAAACAGTGTAGAACACTCGGACGGTTCGAGTATGTGAGTCACGTGGCTCTGCAGGGTGACGGCGATCATCAACGCAGTTTCAGGGTCACGTAACGGTCTACACAAGCAGCCCGCTTACTCATTCCGTGGGATTCTAGACCAGCTGCCATGCCCAGCCCTATCCCGCTTGGGGCTCCCGAGGAGGGGTGCGCAAAGCGACGTCTCATCTCCCCTCAGACCTGTGTGTATCTTCCCACACCCTGCCTCTCTGGGCTTTCCCTCCCCCAACCCCACCCTCAGGCTCACCCAACACCCCCGAGGGGCGTGGCCCTCACCTACCCACCCGCCTACAGTCTTCCCCGGGGGCTCCGCCAGATTCTCCAAGGACCCTCCCCTCTCTAGGTGGCCTCGCAAATGTGGGGCTGCAGTACAGGCCTGCACTAGCCACAGCCACCGCCACCCCTTTTTGAGACGTATCGGCTCCAGACACAGCCGGGGACCCCCCTTCGCGCTCTTAGCTCCTCACCTGCTCGGCCGACACCACCCCCTTCCCAGCGCCGCTCCCGCTGCTCTTGCCGGCGCGACCGCTGTTCTCCGCCATCTTCGCCGCCTGCTGGGTTTCCGGCCTGAGCGGCTCAGTCCCGCCCCGCCTTGCGTCACATCCGGGCTGGGAGTTACCGCCCCCTCGCCGCGGCGCCGCTGACTCCAGGCAGCTCTACGGATCCGACCCTGCGAATGGTTTTGGCTGTATCTTCATGTAGGACCTACTCCCTAAGTCGCCGGCCGCGGTGAATCCCACCTAGGGTGCTTTTACCTATGCAACAGAGATGCTGCCCCTGGGAGAGGCGGGAAGGATGGGCTAACTCGAGCGGGGAGGGGGCGCGGGTTGAGATCTGGGTTCCTTGTGCCCTCTCCCCACTTCGGGGTGGTGGGCTACGAGGGAGGGTATGCTTCTCTTAAGAGATGCCGCTGTGGGGAGGGAAATATGCTTTGAATTACTAAAGCTGTGCAAGTGCGCAGCCAAGAAGAGAGGCTTAGAAAAACCAAGGAAGTTTCCCCGAGATGACTTCTGAACTGAGGAAACGCTTGGCAGACCAAAGGGCTTCAGCTTAATGTGAGATCTCTGGGAGCTGAGCCAGTCAGGCACGGAGCCAGCCCCTTCCCCCACCCTCCACCTTTGAGCTTCCCCCGTCGCCCATAGAACTTGCAGTGGAGAGTGTTTTAAGGACTGGGGTGTTAGTTTTTAATGGAAGGGCCCTGTTTGAGCTTCACAGTGTGAAGGTGAAGACAGAATCCTAGAAATGTCTTCTCTGAGGGCAGGGTTAGGTGTCCTGATTTCTCATCTTCCTCAGGCTGGGCTTCATCAGCAGGCCTCCTCACCAGCTCCTGTCCTTTCTGTGCCCTGGACTCCGGACACCTCGACCCTCAGTACTTTGTGCTCTGCCCAGGTAACATATTTTGTTGTGTCCTTGGTGCCTGCCATATAGTAGATGCTCAGTGTTTGTTAAATGGATGGTGGGACTCAGGTATCAACCATCCAAAGAACACTGGATCTGTGAACCCTGGATCACCGTGGACTGTAAGAGCAGAGTCAAAACGAAGTCCAGCCTTCCCTGCCTGCTCATTTGAGCCGCTTATTAAACTTGGGTTTCCCCATGCTAGGAAATCTGACAATCCTGCCTGTGGCATTCACAGGTCCAGAGCCATGGCTAACTCCTCTTCCTCCTGGGAACTGCCCCTGGTGGCTGTGTGCCAGGTAACATCAACACCAGACAAGCAACAGAACTTTAAAACGTGTGCTGAGCTGGTTCGAGAGGCTGCCAGACTGGGTGCTTGCCTTGCTTTCCTGCCTGAGGCATTTGACTTCGTTGCACGGGACCCTGCAGAGACGCTACGCCTATCTGAGCCACTGGGTGGGGACCTTTTGGGAGCATATACCCAGCTTGCCAGGTATCAGGGAAAGGGGGAGGAGGGAGAGGTAGAATCTTTTTTGGGCCAGTGTCTCTGGTTTGGCAGCTGTGACAGTAGAGCCTTGAAAAGAGTTCAGTGTCCCCTCCTCCCAGGGAATGTGGACTCTGGCTGTCCTTGGGTGGTTTCCATGAGCGTGGCCAAGACTGGGAGCAGACTCAGAAAATCTACAATTGTCATGTGCTTCTCGACAGCAAGGGTGAGACTTCGTAATCCTTTAGCCTGCCTCTTCCCAGGTTCTTCTTCCTCAACTTAGATTCTTCACAATTCTGTCTTCTCAACTGTATCTCCTTGGTACATTTTAGGGGTATTTGTCCTTCTCTTCCTAGCCTATAAACTCTCCTCCTTGAGAAAGGAGCAAAGCTGAGCACTAGCAGCAAGTATTCCTTTTCCCTCTCACTCTAGGATCAGTAGTGGCCACTTACAGGAAGACGCATCTGTGTGATGTAGAGATTCCAGGGCAGGGACCTATGCGTGAAAGCAACTCTACCTTGCCTGGGCCCAGTCTTGAGTCACCTGTCAGCACACCAGCAGGCAAGGTGGGAGCGGTGAGGGTGAGGGAGGAAAAAGAGGGAGGGGAATCAGGAGTACAGAAAGCTCTAAGGAGTGTGATAACGGGTAAAACTGGATGCTGTGATCAATGGGAAAGGGGGCTTAGGCAAGCTGTTTTTCATTCCAGATTGGTCTGGCTATCTGCTATGACATGAGATTCCCTGAACTCTCTCTGGCATTGGCTCAAGCCGGAGCAGAAATACTTACCTACCCTTCAGCTTTTGGATCTGTTACAGGTCCAGCCCACTGGGAGGTAAGAGAACACCTCTTCCAAACATAAAGGCTTTCTCTTAACCTCATTCTACCCTCTTAGCCCCACCAGTTCAGATTTTCTTCCCCTTCTTGCCTAATGGGAAAATTCATTCTCCCAAACTGTCATCTCTCCTATGTTGTAGATAACAAAGTAACATTCCTAGGGAATACCAGCATGGTCACAATAGGTAGATTAGCCTGAAATGCCCATCTGCTATTATTTCTCCATCCACTATCGTATATACTTAAGTGAAAACACATTTTCTCATCCCCAGGTGTTGCTGCGGGCCCGTGCCATTGAAACCCAGTGCTACGTAGTGGCAGCAGCACAGTGTGGACGCCACCATGAGAAGAGAGCAAGTTATGGCCACAGCATGGTTGTAGATCCCTGGGGAACAGTGGTGGCCCGCTGCTCAGAGGGGCCAGGCCTCTGCCTTGCCCGAATTGACCTGAACTATCTGCGACAGTTACGCCAACACCTGCCTGTATTCCAGCACCGCAGGCCTGACCTCTATGGCAATCTGGGTCACCCACTGTCTTAAGACTTTTGACTTCTGTGAGTTGAGACCCCCTCCCCCATTGTGAGCTGGTGCAGCTGTGACTTGTAGGCAGGACCCAGGCGCAGCTCCCCTCACTTGGAGAAACTTCACTCTCTATGGAACATAGGCTCGGGTTCTTGGGAAAGAAAACTTTCTTCTGAGCTCAGATTCCAGTTTCAGAAAGATGGAATTTTATATATAGTCACTGTTTATTTCATGAAAACTGAAGTTATGCTGAGGGCTGAGCAGCACTGGCATTGAAAAAAAATATATAATCATCACAAAGTCTGTGTCTGGACATCTCCTTTGGGAGCTGGAAAGGGAGGTGGTATAGTACCAGCTGGACTAGTCTCCAACTCTAGGCCTCCTGGCTCATTCAACATGCCTCCCTACCTAAATAAAAGTGCAACACTCAGTGCATGTCCCGGCCCTATTCTCCCAAGTATGGGAGTGGGAGTAGGGGTACAGGAAGGCAAAGGAAAAAGAAGTTGATAACTGAATTTTTTCACTTTCACCTATGATGCCCTTTGCCCAAGCCAGAAGAAAGCAAAGGGGAAAAGGGCTACAGGGTACATTATTTATTTTCACTTGAACATGAAAGGGAAGTGTCACACTCCCCCTTCCCCTTTTTAGGGGGAGTGTATTTTAATCAACAACCTCTTCTCCATCTATTCTGTGGGTGTGTGTGTGGGAGGGCATGCAAACACACCCTCCCCCCCACACACACACATCACAGTGGGAGGGGTGACTAGTTTTATCTATTACCGCCTTGAAGGTTTGACAAAGTGGGAAAAAGGAAGAAGCCACACCAGGCAGAAGTTTCAAGCCATGGAATGGAGGAAAGAAGGCAGAGAGGAGCAGCACCAGAGGCCAGGAGACAGTGGAAAGGGCCACAGCTTGTTTTTTTAAAAATTCTGTAATTTGGAAGAGGGAGGTGATTAATTTCCAAAATACACTTCAGAGTCCCACCTTCCACATAGCTCTCTTACAGCCCTTTGGTTTTTCAGACAAAATTTAAGAGCCCTCATAAAGCCAGAAGTATTGATAACCCCTCAGTGCACCCAAAAGCAGTGTTCACTTCAGTCCCTCACAAAGACTATGTTCTATAGACTTTGCTTCTCCTTATACACTTGTCATTCGGCTCAGTGGTAAGGTGGCTGTAGAGACACATGTTAGAGGGTAAGTGGAAATGGGAAACAAATGGGAAGCCCAGGCACATGGGTGCAGGGAGGGTGGGGAACACCACTTCCACTTTCCTTTGTCTTTTCCTTTAAAAAAAAAAAAAAAAAAGGCAGGGGTGCGATTGGTTGGAAGGGTAGAGAACAAACCCCAGAACAGTATGTAAGCTGCAGAGGTGGGTGGTGGGAGCAGCGCCCACCAGGGTGAGAAGTGGGGAGACTGTCAGGGCAGTGCCTGCAGCATCAAGTTCCTCAGGAGTTTCTGTCGGCCCAGCTCATAGTCCTCCTCATCCACATTCACCAGCAGCTTGATGGCTTCGTGGCCCACAGCTTGCTTGAGGGAGTCTGTGATAAAGACACCTTTAAGTGCCTCTAGTAACGAGCCATTGATATAGTCGCGCCAGAATGCGTCGAGGTAGGTGAGCTCAGAGAACTTGATGTCACAGATGATGGAGCCCAGGTCCCGGGACTTGAGGATGGTGTTCGCCTGGTTAAAGCGCTCAAACTGGCGCTCAAGTGGGTCCTGCTTGTTAGAGAAGACGTTGCCCTGTAGAGCAGTCTCGTGCTGGCAGTATTCAGCCCGAACCCGCAGTCTGATGTCTAGGAGACAAGATACAGAGCAGAGGAGGTTACAATCGAAGTTTGAAAAGCAAAAAAGAGTAGCAAAGTTGGAAACCACCTGACAGTCTCTCTTACACTGGACTAGTTCTTTTTTTAATTTATCTATTTGAAAGGGAGAGTGACAAAGAGTGAAGGAGAGAGGAGATCTTCCATCCACTGGTTCATTCTCCAAATGCCGGCAACAGCTGAACTGGACCAGGCTGGCGCCAGGAACTACAGCTGGTAGTCATCTACTACTTCTCAGGCACATTATAGCAGGAAGCTGGATCAGAAGCAGAGCAGCTGGGACTCAAAATGTGCTCCAAGATGAAGCAGGTGTCCCAAGCAGCAGCTTAAACCACTGTGCCACCCCAGGACTAATTTTTTCCAGAGGACTCTGTGCCTCTGAAATTGTTGCCTGATTGCAGGAGGTTCCCTGCAGTGGAATATGCTCAAGTCAGCATTATTCCTATCACAAGCAGTACCTTGCTCATAGGAGATAATTTTCCTAATTAACAGGCATAGAAGTTAATTTTAAATCTCTATCTAGACTTGGTTTGCCTTACAATAAGGATGGCATAATGGCACCCTTTTGATCAAATGTTCAACTAAAAAGAGTTTAAATGTATCCTTCCCTAAGATAAAGAGTTCTTCCATGAGAGAATTAACCATTCAACTTCACTTTGCTATAGTAGTCAAAGTGAGGTTTGCACTGAATATTATAAATTGCCCAGTATCCAAGCACTTCTTTATATTTCCCCACAAGTCTTATTCCACCTCTGGAACCTTTAAAATTTTCTTACCACACGTCTGCTTTTCCTTGGGATCTGGTGTCACTGACTTCCGACGTTTCCGCTGGCTCCCAAGTGTGGCTCTCCCTCGAGCTGGCCGCTTGCTACACATCTGAGGACCGGAAGTGGGGCAGCACACCACAGGATAGTGGGGAGGCACTGGCCAGAAGGTAAAAGGGAAGAAAACACAGTCGGGCAAACGCAGAAATCCAAAACACTTCTCTTGGATTGAGGAAGGAGACATTTAGACTTATCACTAAAAACAGTGTCAACAACGTGACCTGAGAGGAGGATACAAAGTTAGAGCCAACACAGAGCCTACGTGAAGTATTAACTCCTCACCTCGTGATTCACGGGACGGGTGGAGGATAGCATCCCTCCATTAGGCCGGCAAAACCAGCAATGTGACGGTAGAGTCCTCCTATTTGATTAGGGAAGTTTGAGGGAGTTTCTATCTTCTCACCTGTTTTAGGGGGCTGGGGAGGCCTCGGTTCTGGGTCACTGAGGGCTCTGGGGGTCACGTAGCGAATTGATGTCTCTTCCAGATACTTGTCTACAAGATCAGGGCACACTGTAGAGGAAGGAGGAGTCATTCAGAAAAGAGACACCCTTCTCTTCTCCCAGTCCAAACCTCACTCTTGTGAGTGAGGACCGAATCGGAAGACAACAGCCAGGACTAGAACCAGCGCCCATATGGGATGCCAGTGCTTCAGGCCAGGGCGTTAACCCGCTGTGCCACAGCGCCGGCCCCGTGAGTGAGGATCTTGTAACTTCACTCTTCCAGGCGCTTGCCAGGCTCAACGCCTCTTCCCCTTTGGATTACTACGCTGCTCACTCCTGGCCTCCCACACCGCTTCCCTGATTCCAGTGGTCCCAGCCCCCGGGGCACCCTCACCAGCCCGTCTCCTCTTGAGGGTGACGTAGGGCAGCAGGTCATGGCGAGTGATGATGCGCAGCAGCTGCAGCACCTGACGAAAGTTACTCTCATCACAGCGGCCCTGGCGTTCCAGTGCCAATAAGAAATCACGTCCATTTCGGATGAGTCCACGCTCGTGGTCATCAATGACATCCACGAAGAGGAAGGAAAGCACACGCACGTCTCTGTGTGTCAGGTGGGTACCCACGATGTCAAACATGCGGTGCAGGCTATACAGCCCGTGCTCCTGCTCACCATGCTCTTCTGGCCACACCTGGCTTGCTCTCCGCTTTAGGCCCGCCATGCTGGGGGCTCAGGTACGCAATGCTTTCCAGAATCCCTGCGCAGCAGCTGTAATCCCCACTGAACTGTAAGGACAAGGAAACAATCTATGAGCCACATGACAGAAATGAGTCTCACCCATTCCTGTATTCCCAGTGCCTAGCACAATGCCTGACACAGTACAGTAACGCTACACATGTCTTTTCATTATTATTATCATTATTGTTATTTGGAGAGGCAGAGAGAGCATCCCCATTTGCTAGTTCAATCCTCAAATGTTTGCAACAGCTGGGACTGGACCAAGCCAAAGCCAGGGCTAGGAACTCAGTCAAGGTCTCTCATATGGGTGGCAGGAACCCAGGTCTCCCACATGGATGCAGGTGCCCAAGCACCTGGGCCATCTTCTGCTGCTTTCCAAGGCTCATTAGTAGGGAGATGGATTGGAAGTAGAGCAGGGGCCAGCGCTGTGGCACAGTGGGTTAACGCCCTGGCCTGAAGCGCCAGCATCCCATGTGGGCGCCGGTTCTAGTCCTGGCTGCTCCTCTTCCGATCCAGCTCTCTGGAATGGCCTGGGAAAGCAGTACAACATGGTCCAAGTTCTTGGGTCTCTGCACCCGCATGGCAGACTGGAAGAAGCTCCTAACTCCTGGCTTCAGATCAGCCTAGCTCCAGCCGTTGCAGGAGTTGAACCAACAGAAGGAAGACCTCTCTCTAACTCTGACTTTCAAATAATAATAATAAATAAATCTTTTTAAAAAATTCACTCTCAACTGTAATATGGAAGCTGCTTCAGATGAACCTTGGGACTGACAATAGGGAAACTAAGTATCTTTAGAGTTAGAACTAGTTTAAATTCTGAGTGTATCATTAACAAGCTGTGTATCAATGACCTTAAGCAAGGCACTTAACTTCAAAGTCTCAGTGCCCTCATCTATAAAACAGAGATGAAAGAAGTCACTTCTCAGAGTTAAGACTCTAGTGAGAAATAACATGCCAAATCATTTTGTAAACGTTGAGATTTCAAAGATAGAAGCATCCTTGACCTCTGTGACCCAGACTCATCTCTCCACAAACCAAGGCTCGTTTTTCTTACAATCCAAACAAGCCCAACAGCCTAACTGCTAGGATTAACCAACAGTATGCACCAAAACTGATGAATTAAAAATCAACATTACATTCCTACATTGAGCATTCTTATAATTCTATGGCATTTGCACGCCCTTGATCTTCACACCAACTGGATATCCCAACTTCTAACCTTTCCTCAGGGATATCATTTACTAATCCCCTGTCAATGTCCAATCACAGTCCTACATTCTTTATATAATTCAGCATAAATTCACAAAGTTCTTCCACCATTCAACAACTTTTACCTCCATAATAGGCACTCATAATTCCTGCCCTGGAACATAATACTATTTTACCCTCTGACCACAACCTCCAATCACTTACCAATTATAAATCCCTGTTGATGCTATTTTAAAATATTTACTAAGGGGCCAGCGCCATGGAGCAGTAGGCTAAGCCTCCACCTGCGGCACCGGCATCCCATAAGGGTGCCAGTTTGTGCCCCAGCTACTCCTCTTCCAATCCAGCTCCTTGCTAATGGTCTGGGAAAGCTGTGAAAGATGACCCAAATATGTGGGACCCTGCACCCATGAGAGACCCAGAAAGAAGCTCCTGGCTTTGGATCGGCCCAGCTCTAGCCATTGCAGTCATTTGGGGAGTGAATCAGTGAATAGAAGACCTTTCTTACTGTCTCTCCCTTTGTCTGTAACTCTGCCTCTCAAATAAATAAATAAAATCCTATTTACTTATTTTTTTTGCAAGGCAGAGAGATCGCCTATGTTTACAACAGCTGGGGATGGGTCAGGCCTAAGCCAGAAGCCTGGAACTCAATCCAGGTTTCCCATTTGGGTGGTAGGAATCCAAGTACTTGAGCCATCATTCCCTGCCTCCCAGAGTGCATATTAGCAGGAAGCTGGAATCAGGAGCAGAGCCAGGACTCAAATCCTATCATTCCAATGAGATGCAGGCATCTCATGCAGTGTCTATATTATAAACACTAGGCCAAATGGCTGCCCCTAACACCAATCTTGACTCACCTAAATCTAGTACCTACATCTAGTTGAGTTAGTGGTTTAAAATGCACAGCTGGGGGCTGGTGTTGTAGAGCAGCAGGTTAAGCTGCTGCCCATGATGCTGGCATCCCATCAGAGGTGGTTCAAATCTTGGCTGCTCTGCTTCTAATGCAACCCTCTGCTAATGCACCTGGGAAAGCAGTGGAGGATGGCTCCAGTCCTTAAATCCCTGCCACCCATATGGGAGACCTGAATGGAGTTCCAAGCTCCTGATTTGGCCTAGTTCGGCCTTGGTTGTTGTGGCCATTTGGGGAGGGAGCCAGTGAATGGAGCACCCTTTCCTCTCTCTCCAATTCTGTCATTCTGCCTTTCAAATACAATTTTAAAAAATCTTTTTTGGGGCCAGTGCTGTGGTGTAGCGGGTGAAGCCACCACCTGCAGTGCCAGCATCCCATATGGGCACTGGTTCAAGTCTCGGCTGCTCCACTTCCCATCCAGCTCCCTGCTATGGCCTGGGAAAGCAGTGGAAGATGGCCCAATTCCTTGGGCCACTGCATCCACCTGGGAGACCTGGAAGAAACTCTTGGCTTCAGATCAACACAGCTCTGGCCATTGCAGCCAACTGCGGAGTGAACCAATGGATGGCAGACCCTCACCCTCTCCCTCTCCCCTCTCTCCTCTCTGTGTAACTCTTTTAAATCTTTTAAAAAAAACTTTTTCATTTTAAATAAAAAAGCACAACTCATCACTTTCCTATCTAAAACCTGTCTAAAGGGACCAGTGTTGTGGCACAGCATGTTAAGCCTCTGCCTTTAATGCTGGTATCCCATATGTGCCCCAGTTTGAGACTCTAGTGCTTTATTTCCAATCCATCTCCCTGCTAATGTGCCTGGGAAAGCAGCAGGAAATGGCCCAAGTACTTGGGCTCCTGCAACCACATGGGAGACCCAGGGGAAACTCCAGACTCCTGGCTTTGTTCTGGCCTAGCTCTGGCTGCTGTGACCATTTGGGAAGATACCCCTCTGTAACTCTGCCTTTAAAACATAAACCTTTTTTTCCCTAAGGACTTGGGCCATTCTCCACTGCTTTCTCAGGCACATTAGCAGCAGCCAGGACTCAAACCAGCACCCATATGGAATGCCATGTAACTTACTATGCCACAGTACCAGTCCCTAAAAAATAAATCTTTAAAAAAAAAAAATGACCTATATCCTAACCTATAAGAACATCCAAATCCTTAACAGCACACAAAGTCTTCCAAGATCAGGCCTATCTTTCTAACCTTCTCTCCCACCACATCCTGCTTGCCTTTTTTTTTTTTTTTTTTGACAGGCAGAGTGGATAGTGAGAGAGAGAGAGAGAGAAAGGTCTTCCTTTGCTGTTGGTTCACCTTCCAATGGCCGCCACGGCCAGCGCACCGCGCTGATCCGATGGCAGGAGCCAGGTGCTTTTCCTGGTCTCCCATGGGGTGCAGGGCCCAAGTACTTGGGCCATCCTCCACTGCACTCCCTGGCCACAGCAGAGAGCTGGCCTGGAAGAGGAGCAACTGGGACAGAATCCAGCGCCCCGACCGGGACTAGAACCCGGTGTGCCGGCGACGCAAGGCGGAGGATTAGCCTGGTGAGCCACGGTGCCGGCCACATCCTGCTTTTTATTTTCTAACATTATCCATTTTATCATCTACATGATCATTTTATTTATAATTCACATACATCATGCAATTCATTCTTCTACACCCTTCTTCTGGCTAGTCCCTCTACCTGAGTGCCCCTCTCCCCTTTCTATTCCATACCCCCATCACCACCCCTTTTCAGATGGCTAACTCCTACTCACCCTTTAAGAGTCAGCTCAGATGCCATCTTCAAAATGCACTCTCTACACCCCCATGCTGGGATAGGTTGTGCTCTTCTGGAACACTGTGCATATTTCCTTCATACCACTTACCCCCATGTACTAAAATTATTTGTGTATTTATTATCCCATTAGCTCCCACACAACTCATGAGGACGAAATCACATTCATATTTATATCCCTAGTGTCTAGAAATGGACACAGCCTGGCATACTATAGGATCAACTTGTTGTTTAACTGAACCTAATCTCCAAAAGATCACCACAAGCAATCCCAAATAAGAAAAAAACCCATGAAATCTATGAAAGGACTCCATTAAAAAACACATAACATATATTCTGGCTAGCCATAGCGTCCTCTGCACTGTGCATAATAAGCTCTCACACCCCATTACCCTATTCACAATAAGGGTACTCTACCCATTTTATATACTAAGAAACTGAGGCTAAGCTAAGAAAGAGAATAAAATAAGCTATTTCAGAAGAGCCAAGCTGATGGAGACTTAGAAAAGCTGAAGAACAAGTAGGACCTGGTCCTTTGTTCCTCAACAAACCCAAGACGGATGTACAGACTTACCCTCTCAAGAAAAGGGGAGGAATCACTTAACCCCAATCACAAGTTCTAACAGGTGGCAAGGAAATATAATCCATAAGGTTTTGAGAGCCTATGCCCTGTCCAAAGCATGGGAAACAGCTGAGAAAACAGCTATTCACTATAGCCTGGCTTTGTCATTTCCTCTCCTGTTTCACCTGCTGCTGTCACGAGGTACACATGAAGGTGCTGAAGGAAATTAGCTGCTTGCTCACAGCAGACAACATGAGAAATGCTGAGCCCCCTAGGGCCCCTGCAACTGCTTCCCTATCCCACCTGTTCCCTTAGCCAGCTGTTGACTATGAGGATCCCAGAGAAAACAGATGGGCAGGCTTTACATCGAACCAATCAGAAAAACAGGCTACTCAAGAGCTCCCTAATTCAGAGTCCTTAAACATCAGGAAACGAAAAAATATTGTCCCCATACACCTTGTCACTGGAAAATGAGGCAAATATGGAGAAGGCCCTAATTATGCACCAATAAATGCAATTCTATCACAGGCCTCAGTCCCCTGGGGGTTAATTCCCTACATTTGAGAGAGAGGGACAAAAATGATAGCTACCTTTAAGTACTAGATCCTAGGCTGGATCATCCTAGGGACTAGGAATTATTAGAGCTTCTAGGTCAGTTGTTCTCAATCAAGAGCCAATTTGTCCCCCAGGGAGCATGTGGCAATGTTTGAAGACATTTCTCATATCATGCTTGGGGGAGGGGGTTTGCTACCAGCATGTAATAAGGTCATAGATGGGATGCTGCTAAACATTATATAATGCACAGAACAGTTCCCCCATAACACAGAATTATCTGAACCAAAATGTCAATAATGCAAGGGACAGGAAACTATTCTACGCAAAGTGTGATGAAGGGTCAAAAGAATGCACATCATTTTCCACTAGATCTGAGAAGGAAGCTATCTGGTCCCTCCAACCCCAACCCATTAACTAATACTCCAGATGAATAGAAAGACCAGTCAGACACAGGCTCACTCATTTAACTCTTAAGTCCAGCTAGCACTAAAGAGTTTCACCCCACTCCAACCCTGACTCCACTACCACCTGCTGTTGCCATTCAGGTAAACAGTGGATGAGAAGGCTGCATTCTCCTCTGCCCCAAGCATGCATGCCCCTAGCATGCGATCTGGAGTCCTGGGAGGATAAGAGAAACACCACCCTCTGCAAGACATAAAGGATCCTGCTCTCAAACCCCAAGGCCATCTTTAAAGTCCTGAAACTACACCAGCAGCAAACCCTTCCTTGCTAGGTGGCTAAGCAGGCTGACACCGCTTATTCATTGAAGCAAAACACTGAAGTCTAGGTTTCCAAGGCTATGTCCTTGGGAGAAATGTCAGGAGGCAGGCATGCAGCCTTATAGGCAGCCCTCCCACTTAATTACCATCTAGTATGGTGAGTTCACTCATTCAGCAACCCAAATGGGGGTTCCAGGAGTCTATCTAACTTTAGCATGAAAATAAGGTAACCAACTTCCTCTTAAACCAAAATATATATTCAGCATCCTATAGCAATGAGGCAAAGGAGCTTAACTTAAAATATACAGACCTTGGGGCAGGCACTGTGGCGCAGCAAATTAAACCAATGCTTGGGACGCCCACACCCCATATTGGAGTCCCTGGTTTGAGTTCCAGCTACTGTTTCCCATGCAGCTTCATGCTAACATGCTTAGGAGGCAGATGAGGGCTCAAGTACATCTACATGGGAGATCTTGATGGCGCTCCTGGCTTCAGCCCCCAACTGTTACAGGCATTTGGAGAGTGAACCAGCAGAAATGCAAGATCTCCTCCCTCCCCCAACACACACACACACACACACACACACCACTCTTTCAAATAAATAAATCTTTGAAAAGGTATATGTACACAGATCCCGTAAGAGCCTATAAGAAAGTATCCAAGAGGTGAGGAGAATATACCCTTCTAAACACAAAATTAGAACTCAAGTCTCAGTATTTGAAACACTGCCAGATATGAAGAGACAAACATTCCAGCAAACAAGGCTGATCTGGCTCTACATCAGTCCCCCAAATTTCCCAAGAATAATTCTTGATTCTGATGAACTGCTGTACTTTCTGGAGTTCCAGTTTTTTGATTTTCCCCCTCCTTTGGGAGGTCAAAGTCATTCAAGCACCAAATAACAGTACATATGAATCTACAGGATTCCCTCCCAATTGGTCATTCTCCACTGGGTTTCCACTTACAAGCAGTCTAGTTTCGTCTCAACCTCGGATAACATCTGTACTTTCTAGGCTACGTGGCTCTCTCCAAAACCCTTAGAGGAAAGCCATGTGGAAGAAACAATGATGACTTCTTGAAATGAAAACTAGATTTTTCTTAGCATGAGTGATACCTGTATATCCATGGGAGACCCACAGATATCTCTCAGAAGTCCTTAAAGGAAAGTCACACAGAAAAACTTAATGACAACAAAAAAAGTGAAGTCTTGGGGTACACACTGTGGCACAGCAGATTAAGTTACCACTGGGGATGGCTGCATCCCATATCAGAGCGCCAGTTCCAGTCCCTGCTACACCGCTTCCAATCCAGTTTCCTGCTAATGCATCTGGTGCACTTGTGAGGCAACAGATGATGGCCAAGTGTTTGGGTCCCTGTCACCCATGTAGGAGGCTCCAATTGAGGTCCTGCCTTTTTGGCTTTGGCCTGGCCTAGCCCTTGCTGTTGCAGGCACTTGGGGAGTGACCCAGTGAACGAAAAGATCTCTGCCTCCCTCCCTCTCCCACTCCCCTTTCAAATAAAAATCTGTAAAGAGTTATGTCTTATAGTGAAAACTACATGGAAAGTCTTAAAGATAGCTAAGCGTACATGAAAAACTTCCTTTCTCATTAATAAAAAAAAAAAAAACAATTTTCTTGCTGGTGGGACAAGAGAAATGTAACTAGATATCTGAAGTCAGAATTACATAGTATGTTTTCAACAAGAAGATTGCAGGACTCTAAACAAGTGGAAAAGAGTAAGGTAGAAGAAAAGACTTCCCAAGGAAGAAAGGTACCTCAGCAACCCTCCAAGGGCAACATTTAGCTGACAATGTATTAGAATACACAGTTGACAGTAACAAACCAAAGCTGATGTCTTGTTCCAAAGCACCTAGTTTCCCCTTCTTTTCCCTCCTATCATCTCCAGTTACCTAAAGAGGTAGTGATTCCAACAGACCTTACTCATTCAGTTGCATGAGTAAAAAACTCATTTTCCCTGGCATCTACCCCATTACTGGGCTCAACCCCAATATATTTCTCATGTCATTTCCATTTGCTTCCATTGTTTGAAAACAATAAAAAGTTCCAGACTTACCTCTTCAAGAAACTTAATTTCCCAGGTCTCTTCCTAGCACAAGTTTCAAAGCCAGCAGCAAAACAAAAACAAAAGCAAGTAAGGGGGAGAAGAGAGTCAATTTTCAAGCTTTATTTTGAAACCTCAAAGGCCCAGAGAGTTGGTCAATCTCAGTTGCAAAAATACAGTCAAACATAAAGCTATTTTGGTTGAAATGATCCATTCCAAGCTAGAGAACTCAACTACAACAAAATTCCCACACTTCCCTAACTCTCCACTAATCAACTCACAGAATAATACCATCTTCACAAATTTCCAGTCTTACTGGCTCATGGCAAGAAGCGTCCCAAGTCCAAAATTACCGAGAAAACCAATGACCTTCTGATACTTTCTCATGTCCCTCAATTCCTATTCCACCTGTTTTGTTACAATATTAATGTTGACTTTCATCTTTAGAGAAAACTGGAAGGAATATGGTTACAGCCAAAGTAGGCATTTTCTTCCCATCACTTATCAGACCAGAACTATCTTCCAAATTGTATCTTCAACCTTTCCTTAACTAGCATGCAATGAAGACAAAATATCTGCTAAGGAAGCATCCACTCACACGGCCACATTTCACCAGAGAATCTTTTTTTTTTTAATTTATTTTTCTGTACATGCATTTTGCCCCCTCATCCTAGCACTGAAACCGCAAAAGAAGGGTCTGGAAACTAAAGTACTCATTTAATTAGCCTGGCCTGCCTAAATGCGAGCCTGTCTTTTCTGTTGCCCTCTCGGGATTTTCAGAGCCTCCACCTTGGCAGACAGCGCTTGGTCCTAACCATGTCTGTTGCCCCATTCTTGGATTGCTAATTGCTGAAAACTAGCAAAGTCCTTTACTCCTCCACACTCTGACACAAGCTTCCCCATTTTCCCTTCTTTTCCTAACTAGGAAAAACAAGACAGCAGTTAGCTGGGGGAGCCTTTTGGTAAGCAAACCTAGTTGAAGCCTCATTCAACCCCAATCCTCCAAACCCACATGACCAGTCCCTTCTGCCCTTCCCACCCTATGAAAGCTAAGGGCCTGGCCATCACAATTCGCTCCAACTGATGCTGCTTAACTCTGCTCTCCCTTTCCACAGTGGAAGGGGAAGGGGAAACCCCGAACCTCTATCACCCGTGCAGCTCCACGGTCCTCTCTCCCACCCCATTCCCCTTCCTCCCAAACTTTCCTCCCAGTCTCTCACTTTCTCCATTACCTCGCCACACCGACACTCTCCATTCCCCCAAACCTCCCTCTTCTCTTCCACCCAAATTCTCCCCCTAGGCCCTTCCCCCTCCCACCTCCAATTTAACACTTTCAAAACCTATCCCCATAAACGTCTGAAGTCCAAGTCTCACCTTCCCCGCCTCCCCACAACAGCCTTCCCAAGGGTCCAGCCCTGCCTGCAACCTCACGCCACAAGCCCCCTGTCCCTTGCCACCCTCGGCCTCTCCCCCCACCCGGCTCCTACCCCGTCGATCCGGCCGGATGGCAGCCCCACTCCCCCTCCTCGGCCTCCCTAATCCCCCCAGCCGGGCCCAGTCTCGGCCCTTGTTTACGCCCCTCCCCGTGCCCCTACTCCGCCGCCTCGACCCCTGCCCTCTCCCACAGTTGCCATCTCCCCTGCACGCCCCCCTCGGCTGCTCCCCTCCCCCACCTCGCAGCGTCCCGTCACCTCCCTCTCTGGAGGTTCTCAGGCTGGACGTCGCCACCGCCTCCCCCTCCACTTTCCTTCCCCAAGCCCTTTGCGGCCCCGCCCGGCCCCGCCCCGTCCCGCTCGACTCCCCCTCCCCACTCCGGCCGCCCCGCCGCCTCACTCTCGGCTCAGGCTCGGCGCCGCCATGTTGGATCCATCCGCGCCGCTCTCCCGGGCCTGTCTCACGGCGCCGCATCCGGGCTCCAGCCGCCGCCGCTGCCGCCGCCGCCGCCGCCACCACCGCGGGCGTGGGGGAGGGGACAGCGGGCGGGGGTGGTTGCATCCTGAACAGCGCCTCCCGGAACCAGGCCGGTTAGCGGCGGCTTCGAGACCATAGTGAGGCATGAGCCGGGGCAGCCATACTAGGTGAGGGCAGCCTGGCAGCGGCATTAAGCGAGGAGCGGATAGCTTCACTTTGAGAGCAGAGCATAGAGACTGGCAGCCATCTTGCTTTGGGGCAAACTGGCAACGCAGGTTTTATTCCTGACGGCGGCCTCGGGGCGGTAGTAGGGGCTGGGAGAAGATAGCATTCTTGGCGTGTGGGAACACTGGTGGCGCCAGAGTTGGCTGGTGGCAACTTAGAGACCCTTTGAAAGACTGGGCCGAGCAGCCATGACGCGTGAGGGCGGAATAGCACGGGGGTCGGATTGCCTCGCAAACGTGGGTGAAGGATCAAGAGCTGCATTTGACCTTTGCTCCGAGCTTCCAGGTCACCCGGACGTCCCGTAAACCCGGATCCGGAGCAGAGAGTGCTGCTCGGATCCTGTCGTGGACTTCATTCTTTCGGCATTTACCTTTTGAGCTCCGCTTCCTGTAGGAAGTGTCGCCTGAGCTGAGTCGTGGAGGACTGTTGGGAATTGGGGCGGGCGGAAGCGGGTGGCGGCGCAGGTACGTTCCGGAGCTGCCAACAGCCTGGTGTGGTCAAAGAAAGGTAATAGATGAGGCCTGTGAGAGAGGGAGGGACCGTGTTACGAAAGGCCCTGTAAATTAATTGGTTTTACCCTTCAGGGCAATGAAGAGGCTTTGAAGGGTTTTCGCACAGGTGTGAACAATTATATTTACATTTTTTTAGGAAGATTACTGGTTGTAGAATGAGGACTGTGTTGCAAGGAACAAAGAGGGAAGATAAAACAACTGCGAAACTGTCATCTGGGCTAGAGATGGTGCTCTGTCGTGCAGAAGGGGGAGTGACAATGGGGACAGTCGGTTGCATTAGGGAGTATGAGTGTCCTGACTTGGGCCACTGAGGAATAATGATGCCGATTTTTTTTTTTTTGAGGGGGATGGGAATGAGTTTTAAGCACCTGTAGAATATGCATTAGACAGTTGGGTATTAGTTAATCTGAATTGAGAACCCAAACGGTTTCAGGTGTTCATATAGATCGGTGTTGAAGCCATGGAAATGGGTATAATGGTGGACAGTGAATACTTGCATTTGAGTAATGAGATGAGGGAAGGAAGGAAGGAAACTGAAAAAAAGAATCCTGAGAAGGAACAAACAGAAAGACAAGAAGAAAACCCGGAAGAAGTTATCAAAGAAACTGGCCAAAGTGTTAGATGTGTCGAGAGATCAGGTAAGATGTAGACTCATGTGTGTCCATTGGGTTTTGCAACAAAAAGGTCACTTAGTGAATTTGGAGAAAACTGTTTCATAGATATGGTGGGGTAGAAACTCGATTGAACTGGAAAGGTGTAAGTAAATGTTTTTTCATGATGTTTGACTCTGGAAAAGAAAGTTAAGTAATAAGATTCTAAGAAAAGAAAAGTTTTAGGTATCTGAGACAGCTAGATAGAGAGGTCCTAATGATGACAGTTAAATATACAGATCTAAATTTTAGGAGAGATACACAGTAAGTGAGAGAAAAAAAGTGCAAGCTTAGCAGGTTAAGCTGCAACCTATGACGCTGGCATGTTCATGTCTGGCTTCTCCAGTTCTGATCCAGCTCTCTGCTGATGGACTGGGAAAAGTGGCAGAAAGTGGACCAAGTGTTTGGACCCCTGTCACCTATGTGGGAGTCAGGGAAGAAGCTCCTGGCTTCAGCCTGGCCCAGCCCTGGCTGTTGTGGCCATCTGGGAGTGAACCAGCAGATGGAAGATCTCTCTCTCTGTCTCTCCCTCCCTCTGTATAACTCTTTCAAATAACTAAGTATTTTTTAAAGAAGTAAAAATTACTATGAACAGTGGGCCTGGGATTGATTAGACTTTAACTTTCCATTTTAGATCCATCTTTACTGCTTGACTTTGTCTTTACTGTGTACATGAATTAGTTTTATAGAAAACTACTCTTTAAAAAAACCAAGTGATAAATATTCCAGGCACTCTGATATATCAATATTTCAGTGCTTGAAGCCACAGATCTGGATAAGCTCCCCAGAGAACAGCAAAGGGCTAAGAAGAGTACTCTGGGGAATCCCAGTGGTTAAGGCACAAGTGCAAGAGCCCTTGTAAGATCTTTGAAAAATAAGAGTCAGTGAAGAAGAACAGAAACTGGGAGATAATTATCACAGTATCAAAGGGAAGAAAATGTTTTAAGAGAGATGAAGCTGTCAAAAGTGTCAGATTTCCCCAGAGGCAAGTGACAAGAAAGGGGCCCGGCCTTGGCTCCGCATCCAGCTTTCTTGGAAGTGAGCTACAGGGGTCTTCCCCAAGTATCTAGGCAATTCCACCCTATGCCCCCCTACCCCTTTGGAACCATGTTTTTTCTTTTTAAAAATGAGAGTTGGAGGGACAGAACTCCTACCCATTGCTCCACTTTCCAAATGCCAGCAACTGGACCAAGCCAAAGCCACTGGAACTCAACCCAGGTCTCACATGTGTGTGGCTAGGAGCAACTGCTGCCTCCCAGGGTGTGCAGTAGCAGGAAGCTGGCATCATGAGCCAGAGTTAAGGACTTGAGCCCTGAAACTCTGACATGGGGTGTGGACATTGCAACCAATGTCTTTTTTTTTTTTTTTTTTTTTTTTTTTTTTTTTGACAGGCAGAGTGGACAGTGAGAGAGAGAGACAGAGAGGAAAGGTCTTCCTTTGCCGTTGGTTCACTCTCCAGTGGCCGCTGCGGCCGGCGCACCGCGCTGATCCGAAGCCAGGAGCCAAGTACTTCTCCTGGTCTCCCATGGGGTGCAGGGCCCAAGCACTTGGGCCATCCTCCGCTGCACTCCCTGGCCACAGCAGAGAGCTGACCTGGAAGAGGGGCAACCGGGACAGAATCCGGCGCCCCTACCGGGACTAGAACCCGGTGTGCCAGTGCCGCAAGGCGGAGGATTAGCCTATTGAGCCGCAGCGCCGGCCGCAACCAATGTCTTAACTGCTAGATCAAACACACACACCCAAGCTGTTTTGCCCTTAAACATCATGGCTGCCAGTACCAGCCTAACAGTGGGTCTTCTGTTTGTTTTTTAGATTTATTATTTGAAAGGCAGAGTTAGAGGAAGAGACAGAGCAAGAGAGGTGTAAAATCAGCTGGTTTACTCCCCAAGTGACCTCAATGGCCTGGGCTTTGCCAGGTTGAAGCCGTGAGCCTGGAGCATCTCCAGGTCTTCCATGTGGGTACAGGGGCCATCTGCCTCTGCTTTCCCAGGTACATTTGCAAGGAGCTGGAGCAGAAGTGGAGCAGGCAGGTATCAAACCAGCATTCATATGGGATGTGGACATTGCAGGCAGCAGCTTAACCCACTATGCCACGATGCTGGCCCCTCAGTGGATCCTAAAATCATCACCAGGAGCCGGTTTGCCACAGCAAGTTAAGCTGCCATTTGTGGTGCCAGCAACCCGTATCAGAGTGCTGGTTCGTGTCGCACCTGGTCTGTGTCCAGTCCAGCTCCCTGATAATGAGCCTGGGAAGGCAACAGATAACCTAAGTACCTGGGCCCCTCCCACCTATGTGGGAATCTGGGATGGAGTTCCTGGCTCCTGGCTTCAGCCTGACATAGTCCTAGCTGTTGACAACCATTTGAGGAGTGAAACAGCAGGTAGAAGATCTGTTTCTCTTTCTGTCACTCTGCCATTTCAGATAAATAAAATACAAATCTTTGAAAGAAATTTGTAAAAAGTCAACACCGGCCAGTTGCGGTACCACCAATCTTAACATACTGCCTTAACATACTGCCCTCCTGGGTTCAGTGTTACTGTTAAATAAAAGGAACAATTCCGCTGTTCCATTGCTCCATAGGATGACTGTAGTTAACAGTAATGTATATTTCAAAACAGGCAGAAGAGGATTTTTAATGTTCTTACCGTAGAGAATGATAAGTGTTTGAAGTGATGGGTATGATGATTAATTTGGTAGTTACACAACGTGTATAAGTATCAAAACATCACACTCTATCCCATGAATATGTGTGTAAAATTGTGTCACTCAAAAATATAAACTGTGAAGGGCCAGCATTGTGGCACAACAGATTAAACCACTGCTTGTGAAACTAGCATCCAAATCAGAGTGCTAATTCAAGTCCCAGCTACTCTACTTCCTATCCAGCTGCCTATTACTGTGCCTGGGAAAGCAGCAGATGATGGTACAAGTGCTTGGATCCCTGACACCCACATGGGGAACCCAGATGGAATACCTGGCTCCTGACTTCAGCTGGGCCCAACCTGGACCATTACAGCCATTTGGGGAGTGACCCAATGGAAGATTCTTTCTGTCTCTCTTTTTCTCTCCCCCATTCCTTCTTTCTTTGTCACTCTACCTTTCAAATAAATAAATCTGGGGCCAGCACTGTGGCCTGATGGGTAAAGCCACCACCTGTAGTGCCAGCATCCCATATAGGTGCCGGTTCAAGACCCAGCTGCTCCACTTCTGATCCAGCTTTCCACTGTGGCCTGGGAAAGCAGTAAAAGATGGCCCTAGTCGTTGGGCCCTTGCACCTGCGTTGGAGACCCGGAGGAAGCTCCTAGCTCCTGGCTTCAGATTGGCGCAGCTCTGGCTGTTGCAGCCAATTGGGGAGTGAACCAGCTGATGGAAGACCTCTCTCTCTCTCTCTGCCTCTTCTCTCTCTGGCAGGGAGCTGAATCAGAAGTGGGGCAGCCAGGACACAAACTGGCACCGATATGGGATCCTGGTGTTGTGGGTGATGGCTTTACTCTTTTGTTCCTTTTTAAACAACCTCTTTTACATCCTCATTTTCTTCACAGAAAGAAAAAGCTTAGATTTTCCTAGAGGAGTAGTCATCAGGACAGAGATACCTATGATATACGGCATGGGGACGTGGCCCACTTAAGGCCATGAAAGGTACACAGATGCTACTATTTTTTTTTATAATTTATTATTTTTG